CTCCCTGAACGGCAGCTATTGTCATCAGGGACCAGGCCCTGCCCATCCTGCCCTAGTTACTGGCATAAACCAGAACAAGCAATCCAATGGTGATGGAGACCCGACTGACCCAGCACAGGAACTACTCACAGTATGCGGACGACGGGGACCCAAGGAGTGCTGCATGTACAGAATCAGACGCACGTGATATGGTGGCCTTTTTCTCATTGCCTTGTTTGGGTTTTTTTCCCCCATAATTTGAGAAACAAATAGTAATGAGACAGTTTCAAACATTAACACATTGTATACATTCTTCCCAGTGGTTAATTGCTGTACAAGATGCGGACATGATATCCTACTTACAAACACAATTCGAATGGTGTTTGTAAAAATCCCTCTATTCATTAAGAGAATGTAACTATATATCTATCCTAACCACCCTGAATACACAAATAGAAAAATGGACATTCATCTGTATCCCCTTTTTTTGTTAAGTTCCATTATTTGAATATCATAGGTGTGTAAACTCAGCAAAATATTCTAAAAGGGTCCGGTAGCCCATAATAGTATTGGGTCTTCCGCTTGACTGGCAATGTCAGAAATTATTGACCTGAGTCCCCCACAGCTCAACATAACAGCATGGCTTTACTTCTTATGCTTCGTTTTTATTTTATTTATTTATTTATTTATTTATTTATTTATTGAGTGTGGCCAGCTCAGCCCACCAGGGGGCGGGGCTGGCTGGCATGTGGTGCTGGGGGATTGAACCTCGGTCCCTGTGCTTTGCTTGGCTTAGTTTGTTCTAAGTAGGTGCCTTAGACCACTGAGCCATCTCACCAGCCCCTATGCTTCGTTTTTATACTTTTCTGCTGGATGGTTAAGACCAAGGTAAAGCAGGACCTACGCAAAAAGAGTTGTAGCTTTTGGGTCTGATAATCATTACCTTGTTTTCGGATTTTTTTTCCTTCTCTTTTTCTGTATTTTAGGGAAGGGTCTACAGGGTATTCAGGGTCTTACCACTAGATCAGACTTGTAGTGCTTCTCCTGTTTATAGCCTCTTAAGAGCTGGGATTACGGGCGTGCACCACCACACCCAGTCTCAATCCCTGTCTCAGCGCACCCCTGGGAAAGGCCAGCATGGCAGGCCTGGGAATCAAAGCCCTGGCCCCTTTTAATCCGCTGAGCTATTTGGCCGGCCCTTCTCATGACCTTGTGAGGATGACCCTAACTCCACAAGGAATGAAACAGCTACAGAGTTGTCCGAGTCTTTGCCCTGGCTCAGTACCTAGGGCAAGACTCGGTGGCCCCTCAAGTAATGAGAAGAGATCTGCAGGGCACTACTACTTCTACCAGCACCACCCAGCCTGGCAAGTGATTTGTCACAATCCATTATTGGACAAAAATACTGTTCCTGACTCCAGAAATGGTAACCACAATTCTTCCCAATCTTTTTTTTTTTTTTTTTTTGGTGGAACCAGGGATTGAACTCAGGCCCTTGTGCTTCCTAGGGAAGCACTTATTCTACTGAGCCATCTCCCCAGCCCCCCAACCTTTTTAATAAAATTCCAAATATAACACATTTCCACTGGAATGCTCCTAAGGTAAAGCAGCAAATAAAAGGATTGCTCAGAACACAAGATAGAGGAAGCTGGAATACCCAATATAAGCAAAAGAACTGCAACAACAAGGTCAAAAATTTTTCAATTCCATCTAGAGAGAAACTCTGAACGTTCATGGATTTGGGACTGCTGAGAGCGTCTAACACATTCCCTAAGTGTTGCTTCCTTGTCGTGTGTGTTACGACTGGGCCCAGGCCTTACGTTCTACTGCCTGCCTACATCCCTAGCCTACATATTCTGAAGCTTGAGTCACAGAATGTGACTTGGTTCCATGAAGAGGGCACAGCATCTCGTAACTCCCGCATACTTATGATGCATACCTGCCAACCACGCAGGGGTCAGTGCACAGAACATGTGGGGCGACAGAAGAAGCCAATTCATCTTACCCATGTATACCCTAAACCCGGCTGCCCACTAACTCTTCCATGGATGACGTAAGAATTAATAGCCTATACTTAAACCCTGTACGGACAACCTAGCTCAAGGTCTTGCAACTACTTATAAGGCTCAGGGCCCCTAAGCTTCCATCCAGAGTTCTTTCCATCAGAAATTTCAGGGAAAACAGAGATGGTGGGCTCACAAACCAGAAAGGGATCACAGTCACTCAGGAATCTTGAAAGAGCAGGAAAGCCCAAGAGTGAAGGCAACTCACAGCCACAGCGCAGGGGAAGAGGAGGCAGCTACTGCTAGATCTGGTGGGTGAGGGGACCTGAGAGCAAAGCCACCAGAGCCTCTAGAGAGGCTAAAATCTCAATTGTTATGCAAAATCACTCTCACTTATAAGCACTGGTATTGTGTGAGAATCACGATCTAGGTATCTACCAGACAATGGAAGCTTCGGAAGAAAGCAAAATTTGATCATACACCTGGAATACCAGACTGAGTGAAGGCTCAGCTGAGAGCGACAAGTCTCAGAAGCACTCAGTAAGTACAGTCCATTTACCATACACTTCTCAATACCAAAAGGCAGCTCAGCCCTTCCATTAACGTCCAGTGACACCAGCAGGCTCCACAACATCCCCCACACTCTCTAAGGAGGACTTGCTCCTTACAGGGTGCTTTACTGGGTCTCATCAGTTACAAGAGTGGTCCCTGGATGGCGCGCAGATACTGGTTTCCTGAGATGGCCACCAAGTGCCCCGGCAGGAGTTAAGTGCCCTGTAAAATGTCTACTGAGTGATTCAACAGGGGTCTGTCCACAAGAGAGCTAAATCTCTCAAGCATCCAGCACACCAAGCTGTGTGGGTCAAACAAAACAAGCCTCCACTGTAAATCTTTTCTAGCCCCTGAGCCATCCATAAGAGAACTGTGATCTGGGCATCCATCAGGCAACGGAAGTTGTCCGTATATGAAATGAGCAAAGGCAGGATCTCTCAAGGTGTAGCCAACAGCCAATAAATGGAGCTTGTTCTTCTTCTTCTTCTTCTTCTTTTTTTTGGCAGAACCGGGAATTGAACTCAGGCCCTTGCACTTGCCAGGGAAGTGCTTATTCCACTGAGCCATCTCCCCAGCCCGAGCTTGTTCTGTTAAGGGCAGATGTACAAGGTTCTCTTAAAGGAAATTCAGTGCTGGTAGACGAGTCAGCATCTTAAAGCACAACATGTTCACTCCAATTATCTGCTGCTTAGGCTCAAGTGGGAAACAGCAGCACGGAGAAGCACTCCTAGAGGACTGCAAATCTCTGAGGCGATGCAACATTCAACCGCTCCCCGAGAAAGGTGTGAGTATAAACTAAGTGCTAAGCCTAAAAAGGCAACACATTACTTCTATCGGTTTTACAATGGCTTGATCACAGTCATTTAGGTGCAGGGCCACTGTGATACTGTACTCCATGCAACAGAATATGCCAGCAGCGCAACTTGCACGGGCATTGTCTGGGTCTAGACCAAAACAGGAGCTCAAAGTATGAAAAGAGGAGCAGCAGAGCCAGGCCTGGATCTGGCAGATCAAGGCAGGAGGACTGTCAGTTCAAGCTCACCCTGGCAACTTCTGTGTCTTAGCAAGACCCTGACTCAAAAATAAATCAGCAAATAAATACATGGGCTAGGGCATGCGGTTCAGCATGAAGGCTCTGGGTTCAATTCCAGTACACCCCCACCCACCCACATACAAAACATAGTATAGCAATCTGGCAAGAGAACCTCTTATCTTTTGATGATGTTTGACAGACAGCTGGCCCAGCCTATGGAAGGCTCCCGGGAACCTGTCACATGGAGGTAGCCCACACTGTTAACATGTGATTGGCTGGACTCAAGGACAGGTGCTACTATAATATTAATAGACTTCCTGGGGAAATTGAAAAGCTAGCAAGCCGACTTGTACCTGTTGGCCCATAATTTAGTGAGGTGCCTTGTAACTCAAGACATCCCAACACCGGTACACGGTATGGCCGTGGAATAAGATCATGGAACAAGATGACGGACCTCAGCTTTGAGCCCACATCCCATCTTTATTAGGATCCCATCTTCTCTAAACTAATTGAAGAAACATTTTATTCATGCTAACCAATGACTTCCAAGAACCAGCCGTGACGTTTCTAAACACCCAGTTTTAGATCTTCAACAACAGGACTGAATCAGATCACATTTCTTCAGAATGGATGTAAGTTACTCTTTTGTGTCACATACTATTAACTCACAGCACCTACTGGAGAAAAAAAATTACATTTCATATGCCATCTTCAGAGACACTCTTCTGATCTAAGAATACAATGCCCAAATGAACTACCAGCAATCACCAGTCGTCGTTGTTAGGAAGAGTCCAAACGACACACAAGAGGCTTTAAAAAATGCCAGAAAGGAAGCTCAGTGATTGATCAGATGCTTGGACTCCCCATACCAGACTTGACAGAAACTACAGATTCAAATTCCAGCAGGACCAATTCACTCTAGGATTTTCTAGAAAAACTGGTAAAAGACAATTTACAGATGCGCGTGGTGGTGCATGCCTGTAATCCCAGTACTCTGGAGGCTGAGGCAGGAGGCTCCTTGTGAGCTCAAGGCCAGTCTAAACTGCACAGGAGCGCCCCCCCCCAAAAAGGAAAAAAAAAAAAAAAAAAAGGACAGCTTACAAACTTCCCAAAAGGCTCTTCACAGACTTTCACTGGTATTCATGAGTACAGAAACGTGGAAGGAGGGCTGTCTTGTACTCGCATAAATAAGGAAATATATCGTCTTATTTTCATTTACTGGGGTGGGGGGAGCACAACCCTTAAAAAAAACCCACACAACTCTGCAACATGATGTGTATTCAATGGTGAAGGAGAGCCATGTAACCCTCTAGGTGGCCAAATAATACAAGAGCCTTTGCGGTAAGCTTTACTACACGCACACAGTATTACAGATTTCTAACATGCAATCCTTGCCCAATGCATATCTATAAAGTAAACCTAAAATTACTCACAAACTTGATTCTCCTTTAGTTTTTAAATGCCATCAAATCCTTGGAGACAGTAAGGACCTTCAGCTGTTAAATTCAGAAGGAATACAGTTATAGCCCTGGCTCCAGCGGGCTCATTACTGCTCCAGTCAATGGTGCACCTCACAGCTGAGAACAAATCCAATGAAGTTTTCACTGCTAGGAGTGAAACACCCCTGCTGCAACAATCCACATCAGGTCAGCATTTAACAGAGATCTCCCTCTTGAGCAGGCTGTCCAAAAATACGAGTTCAACCACTGGCTCAAGAAACGCATTAAGGTCTTCGCAATAGTTCAAGATTCATTTAATGTTCAACTACAAGCCTCCTAGAAACTGAGGGTCTGAGTTCTTTTAGGATAGTGACTCTAAATTCTTCCTGGACATAGAAGGCCAACAAGGTGACTGTCACACATCGCACAGAGTGAAAGCCATTATATTATTAGTAGCCAGTGAGAGGCAAGGTTCAGGATCCTGTACTGTGGAGGAGAGCACAGTAATCTCCGAGCAAGCAGAATGGTGGAAAGCGAGCTGGGTGGCATGTTCATCCATTACAGCCAGCCGGATGCTCTGTGGTCTAAGCAAGATGGACACTCACTACTGGATTGCTTGACAACTAAGCAACAAGCAACAATTCATCAGACAAAATTTTAGGTAGAAACAGGTTTGGAAAGTTCTGGGATCCAGTGTAATGTCTACAGGAACATCAGTATTAACATGAGAAGTCAGTATCTAGCAGACAGGTGCCAATTCCCTCCCTTGGCATACTGGAAAGAGATGAAAAAAACCACATCTTCAAGCGCCCAAGTGGAGACCTTCTTCTAACACAATGAGTCCTGTGGCTTTCTGTTAGGAATCAAGCAGTCATTAGTTACAGCCCAATTTTTACAGCATCAGTGCTTACAATTACTTAAGAGCAGATGAAGATCCCCAAAAGATGCAACGTAAGTTGTACAGCTAACTTTTAAGTTCTAGACACAATACGTGATCTCTTCTCAGCATCATGCCAGAAACCAGAGTACTGTTGGCAAGCGTTCTCCAGGGACGCTTCTAACCTCTTAAGAACCAGTTTACATCGGACAAAATTGCACGACATTGTCAGGTGGTAAAGTTTCGCTGTCTCCATCAGTCCGCATCTCATCCTCTCTAGTGGAGGAAAATTACTGCCATGAACGACTTCTACTTCTTGGGGACCATCCTTTAAAAGGTTAAGCACCATCCTCTGAAGAGTACCCTCCAAAATAAGATAGCCTAGAGTTTCTTCCACTCCACCCTCAAAAGCGTCCGAAGACGGGTGTTTTCTAAGGTTTAACAAGCTACTTACCGGGCCTGAGACAGTGCCTCACGTCTACACCCGGTTGCTACCACGAGTTTCCTAACGCCCTCGCGAACCCCTGAAATCTGCGCGGGCTGCCCTGTGCCTGGGTCCAGCCTGGGCACGGGGACGCCACGGGGCAAGCGCAGCGGGCAAACTCTGTCCCGACGGCTTCGGGCACCTCGGGAGACCCGCCCGACCGGCTGGGCCTGGGCCCGGGCCCGGCGGCGGCGCTCCATCCCGGCTGCAGCTGCCCGCAGACTCCCGGGCTCGCTCAGGCGTCGGCTCTGCCCGCCTCCCGCGCCAGGCTCGACCCCCTCCTCCCGGCCCGGCCCGGCTCCGCCTCGGCCTCTCGCGCCCCCGCCAGCCGGCTGCGGCCGTACCTGCCGGACCCGGTGCAGAGCGTCCACAAAACCTTCGGCTTTCATGCCCACCGGAGCGCTCTGCCCCTGTACCAGCTCCGCCATTACCGCCGCCGCCGCCGCCGCCGCCGCTCGGCTCCCGGGTCCGGCCTCCCGCTCCGCTTGGGGACCCGTAGCCGGAAAGGGAAAGTCTCCCCTCTTCCGGCGGAAGGGACGCTGGGACGCTCGCTGCGGGGAGAGCCGCGCTCGCGGGGCGGGGCGGGGCGGGGCGGGGCGGGGCG